ATGCAGTTCCGTCAAAAAGTTAAAAATTGCACTGCTATTTGACCCAGTGATCCCACTTCTAGGAATATTTCTAGGGATATATCCTAAGAAACCCAAAACATGCATCAGAAAGAATGTATGCACCCCTGTGTTCACAGCAGTGCAATTTACAATAGGTAAGATGTGGAAACAGCTCAAGTGCCCATCAGTAGATGAGTGGATATAAAAGGCATGGTATATTCACCGTGGAATACTATGTAGCAGTATAAAAGAAGGATTTCTTACTCTTTGAGACAGCATGGAAGACCTGGAGAGTATTGTGTTAAGCAAAATAAGCCAGTGAGAAAGATACGTATCATATGATCTCACCTATATGTAGAATCAAATGAACAAATTAAATGATGAACAAAACAGACCCAAAACATAGAAGCTTAGAATAAACTGATGAATCTCAGAGGGGAGGCTGGGGTTGGTGGGTGGGGAGGGAGAGATTAACTGAGAAACTTATATGCATATATGCATAGCCCATGGGCACAGACAACAGTCCTGTGAAGGCCTGGAAGTGGGGGTAGGGTGGTGGGAGTCAATGGGGGAAAAGGAAATGAGGACACCTGTAATACTTTCAACAATGAAGATACATTAAAAAATAAAAAGAGTTTGGATCTCTGCCCACCATCCCCAGTGAACAGTGTCAAAGGAAATACAGAAGGATCACTTAGTTAACACTGAGTTCACTCACTGACAAACTTTCCGAAGGTCCAGAGGCAAGCTGATGAGAAATAGAAAGAGTCTGTTGCTCCGGTGGGAGCTAGTTCCGGAGAACTCAGAAGAAAGGAATCTTATATCCTGGGAAAGTTAAATTCAACCTCAGGAGCAGGTGCAGGATGAGGAAATTAGGAAAGAGGAGTCTCATGAGAGTCTTCTGTTAGGCAATTTCAAGCTGTTATTATGGATATAAATGACCTATTTAAAGATTTGTGAATGATAAATCATGAGCAAGGAGATGTGATAGATAGCATAGAAGGCAAAGTTGAAAGTGCAGAGTGCATGTCCAACAAGCCAATCAGCAACTGTCAAGGGCAGCAGAATATCCAAAAAGGATTCCTGCATGTTGCTGTGTGATGCACAAGCCATTAAAGAATTGTAGAAACCTACAAGTGGCTAGCAATGAAGAATGGAACAAAACTCTTAACCTTTTTATGTTAAGTGATTATATTACAATTATTTTGCTTTCGGTTTTAATTTGTATGTTAAGATTTTGGATGCAGTTTCTGGTACTATTAAACACTGAGAATAATTTTTGAGCAACTTTAGAAAAGATTTGTCAGTTACCATTGATATCCAATATTGTTTTGGTTTCAGGTGTACAGCATGTTGATTGGGCACATGTATACCTTTTGAGGTGAACACCCCAATGGGTCTGGTACCCATCTGACACCATGCATGGTTATTAGAATATTGTTGACTATATTCTCTATCTATGCTGTCTTGGCATCACCATGATTTTATTTACAACTCAATTTAAAGAACACCTTTTGGATAAAAGTTTCAAAATTTATAACATTTTTTTGTTACATGAAAAAATTTTTAATTTGTTCCCCACACCATATATAAAATCCAATTACAGATGAATTAAAAATTAAAATGCAAGAAACACAATTTAGAAAGGTTTAGAAAAAATACAAATATATTTAGTAAAGTATTTTTAATATAAAATCGTGAGTCATAGAGAAACATTAATAAATTTGATTGTGTTAAAATTTTAAATATCGATTCTTGAAAGTATCAAGAAGGAAGTAAAAAGGAAATATCACAAACTTGAAAAAGACATTTGCAATAAATAGAATCAATAAAAGAACAGAATACAGAATGTTTTAAAAACACCAACAGTCAATAAGGAAAAGACAAATAACTCAAAAAATAATAAAATGTCATTAACAGGTATTTCATGGATGGGAATTGCAAATGCTTAATATATAAATGTATAAACTTTTGAGCTGTTCTTCATTTCCATACAGAGGTAACCATTTTGTGCCATTAATAAAGGAATTACATTTTCCAATTAACTCACTTGCCCTTTTAATCAATGTTGCTTTAATGCACTAGTTTGAATACTCTGAAGATAATTATCTTAATTCATAATTTGCTTTTTATCACATTCTTACATGGCAGTTTGAAACTGAGGGCAATATTTTATATGGCAAGCTGTGAGACTTCAAATGGAAACAAATATAATATTGAGTAACTAAGTAAATTATAATTTGCAACCAAAATAGAAATGATTTTAAAAATGGAAAACAAAAACAAATAAATTTAATTCTAATTTATTGTCTTTCTATTTGCAATATATTGCTACACAGTGGACAAATTAGAAAAATGTGCTGGTACAATTAAGTGAAGAGGACAAAAATACAAATTTCACAGCTCTGAAAGTTGATTGAAAACTAAAAGAAATTATAATTATTGGGAAAGCTGCTAGAGATTCAGGTAAAAATAGAGCAAATTTTCGTTCTTCTTATCTAAGGCTGTTCCCATGTCTCCCCTACCTCTCAACTCAGCTTAGTGAGTAAGAATTGTAATTTTTATAATTTTGGTAAGCCTGGAAATGTAAATGGTATTATTGCCACAGGGGAAGACTTGCTAAGCAGTAGAAGGAGTTTTTAGGTTGCCCACCACTAGTATTTTTCAGCTCAAAGTGCTGAATTTACTGGGTAACAAATGAGGGAAATTATCCTTTTCCTAGACCAAGACTGTGTTCTCCATTGTGTCAAGCATAGTGCCCGCCATAAACATAACAGGAAGGTACTACTAGTAAAAGTAAGAGTGCAATAGAAGAGATCACATTAGCTTTCTGCATGTGCTTGGCTGATGGGTGGAAAAATTTGCTCATGTGTAGAAGAAACAAAGATGACATAGTAAAAAATAAAAGCCAAAGTGGACTTGAGACTTGATTTCAAAATCATGAGCACTTCCCTACACACACACACACACACACACACACACACACACACACAGAGTACATCAAATAGCAGAGGCTGAAAGCCATACTGATTTTATGTAATTGAATACATTTTTAAAAATCATTGGTTGTCTGGTAAGCTATGCATACACAAGGCTAATCTCTGGTAAGTAAGGCTAAATAGAAATATAAATATTGAGAATTTTAAAAACTGAGTAAACACACTTCAAAAGAGAAGATTCTACACTAAAAGTTTATTAAAGTTACAAAAAATCTAAGATGCAGAATCCGTATTTACTATATTATATTATAAAAAATATGTACTTACCAAAAATTAGAAAACATTCAAAGAAACTAAAAAATGTATCTTATACTTGATGGGGGGATCAGTCAATAGAATCTAATTTTCACTGGGATAAGATGTCGGATTTATTAAAAAATATTTTAAAGTAGTTATTATAAATATATATTAGAAAAATACTATGTTTAAATAACTATATGAAAATATGATGGCAGCCTGGCCAGTGTGGCTCAGTTGGTTGTAACATCTTCCCATGTACTAGAAGGTTGTGGGTTCAATTCCCAGTCAGGGCACATAGAGGAGGCAACTAATGGATGTATCTCTCATATAACATAGCAGATTGTCTTCACAAACTTTCACTAACTTCTAAAATAATCACTAACACCCAAAATGAGGTATTGGGCTAGGTTAACAGTAAATTCAGGTCATTTAAGACCCCAATATTCGACTGAAAATATAAATAACAGTCACAAAAACTATTTGCACTTATAAATTTACAGAAGAGCTCATATAGAAAAGATAACAATTCTAGGAAGGAAGATAACAGGCAGCACACAGGAGAAGTGGTAGAGAGACATGAACAGGCACCTCTCATTCTCTCGATACATAATTCCATAAGAACTAGTGCCCAGAAAGATGAGTTCTATCCATTAGCAATCAGAAAAATGCCTACTTATGTCAAAATGATAGTTTTACATAATGATCAGAATGCATAGCATTGAACATTCTGGCAGTACTAAATCTTGGATCATGGAATTTTTGGATAAAATGTGTATTTACATAATAAACTAGAAAATGTTGGGATAATCTAATAAAATTGGCATAAACATATATTTATGACTGTAATTTCATTCTGATTCATAGAGGACAATAAATTTTAACTATCTACATATGCAATTATAATCATATAATTATACGAGAGGCCCAATGCACGAAATTTGTCCAAGGGCTCGGCCCACAAAGCCATGGCAGCTGCCTCTGCCCTTGCAGCCCCATTTTCGTCCGGAAGGTCATCCAGAAGGTCATACAGCTGTCTGGTATAATTAGAATATTATGCTTTTATTATTATAGATTTATGCATTATTATATTATTATAAATATGCTATTTATAGTATATGAATATAATGTATTATATTCAATATTTGCATATAATATAAATTGTTTTAAATACAATATAATATTTGAAAAAAACAAGACACAAGGATTTTTATAAAATATTCATAATACCCACATATTAAAAAACAACTATATTCTGGGTAGGACAGATTAAAAATGTTATGTCCCTACAATAAAGCAGTGAAAATGAACAAATAAATGGAATAATATGAAGAGATTGCAAAAATATCATGTGAGTGTTAAAGGAGACACATGTGTGTGTTCAAGGAGACACACAGCAGAGGGGCTAAGCGGAATGGCAACTTCTATTTCATGATTTGTAATTATATGGGTCAATTAAGTTTGTAATTAATCTGCACAATCATGATACCTTCAGTTTCCTTGATGTGTAATAAAATTAAGCAGCAAAGTTTACTTTAGAAAAAAGCATTTACAGAAGCATGGTTATCTATAAAAAAGCAAGAACTGGAAATTATCAAATGTGCACGAATGGCATAAAATGTAAACAAAATATTAGAGAGTCAAATAATGCATGTTAATAGTCTTTAAAATAAGTGAACTACAAATATATACAAAATATTTATGAATTGTATAAATATAGACTAAAATGGACTTTTAAATATAATGGAAACATTTAAATCTTACCATTTCTTCTTCATTATCTATGTAAAGCAGGGTAGAGTTCTTAGAAGCACAGGCCAGTACACTCTCATTCCATGCTTTTTTTTCAGTACTAATGTAATAGCAATTGTTTGAATATGTAAACCACTCCTTTGGACAATGTCCACAATGATATGCTGAAGAAAAATTATAAAATTTTATCAAAAAGTTTATATTTTTTAAAATGAAAATTAATTTACATATTTGCATAGGTATAGACACATTTGTGCAATATATATAAAAGAAAACATGCGCCCAGAGAAGGGTTAGTCTCTTGTTTCCTGGTTTAAATTCCATATTAAGCAAATAAACAAAAATATCCACTCATTACATGCTCTGAATGACAATGAATAAAACCTCTTTATTAGAATCCTAAAATTATCTTTGAGACCATCTACAGCAATGGGTATTATGATCTTAAATGAATATTTCTTCATATTGTTGCATAAGAAAACACTCTCATATAATCATTATGAACATATATTGCCTGGTATTATAATTTATGTCCCCATTCCCAAAAAGCTCTTATTTTTGACTACGCTATGTTAGAGATAAAGTATGAACTATACTAATATCAGAACTGAGAAAATAATTATGTACCTTCCTGGATCCCAGTTTTCAGTGAAGAATTATTCTGCTCCAGTATTACATTAGCTGAAAAAAAGTAATTCTTAAATTAATCTTGATCTAACTACACCATAATACTTTTGTTTCTTATGTTTAATTGGGTTGTATTGTCTAGGATTAGAATTATCTGGAATAAAATTTAATTACCAATGAAAATTAATGTAGTAATGATAATTTTGAGGAAAAGTGTTTTTAAAATCTAGAGAACTACTTCTCACAGTATTTGGATTAAAAAATCTCAAAAATTAATTTGTATTTCTCAATAAGGTGTCCTAAAGCATGCCTTGAGGATATAAAAATATATATTCAGATTTTATATATATATGGATATAGGTGGTCATATATGTGTGCATATATTTATAAACTACTCTCTAAAATCGTCCTGATATTTAAAGGTGAAACAACTTCTAAATTTCCATTTTGCACTTAGTTAAATGCCAGAAGCAATTATCTATCCCCCAAGACGAGCAGCCCACTATGCTTATCAGCAACAGATGGACATAAAAGTGAAAAGTTCTGTATAACCTTGCAAAAATGTATTTACAGAGAATAGGTATTGTCACCACAGCGGACATCAGGACAAGGCAGATGACCCCTAGGGTCCCAGCAATGAGCTTCTCTGGAGGTGATGGTGAAACTGCAGGAAGAGAAAAGGAAACACTGAGAAAGGAGAGAGAGAATTGTTTAGACAGTTTACATGCAGAGAATCAAGTACATAAACTTGGACACCAAGCCCATACCTACCACTGTAATCTTCCTCTCAGAATATACCATCGCATGCTTAGGAAATATAATGCTCCATGAGTTACTGGTCAAAGACTAACCCTTACAACAATACCTGAATAAAATTAGCCCTCTGCTTTCATATTAGTATACTGTATTCCAACTTTAAGCGCTGATTCTCACAAATGAAAAATATGTGAGCTAACGTACATATCTTTCCCCCACATCTCTGCACCCCAGCTTCACATACTAGAACAGTTATACTGTGTGTCTATTGAATGTGTTACCTTTGGAGTGGTCCTTCTTGTCCCTCTCTTGAAGATCCTGGGAAGCATTTTGAAGAGCTAATTCTGCATAGGTTACTATTTCCTGCTCAGTTACTGGAATGGAGCTTTGAGTGCCCTTAGGCTTCCTTTGCTGTCTCTTGGCGGACTTGGCCAAATTCAGTTCTGCATAGGTTACAGGTTGGTTGTTCATCTCTGCAGCTGGGTGGCCTTTAAGACTGTGCTCTAAGTCAAGTGTACTTACGAATAATGACATATGCAATAATGCAATCTCTAGGACAGGAACACTGGGCGGGGTAAAGGGTAGTAGGGTTCATTTCCAAGTTGAAAAATCTAAAGTTCTGGTTTTAAATTTGTTAGATCTTTAAACAAGTGCTTCATAGTAGATGTAGGTTTTATGATATTCTACATTTGACAATATATTATTTGTTTGAGCCATAGAAAGCAATAAGTCAGTGAGGAATAACAAATAGCATAAATGATGACATTGTCATTAATTTAAAGTCAGATTCCATGAAAATATTTAACATTATCAGAATGTTTGTATTAAAATTAAAATGTTGTATTAGAAAAAAGAGTCTCTAATATTTATGAAAAATTTGAAATCAATTAATGATTGAAGACTGAGTGCTCCAAAGATTGGGCATCAATGGTAACTTTCTGAAGTAAATTAATTTTATTAAGTAGCATATATTTATTTATTATGCTTTAACATAATTCATTAAACAAGAGTCTCTTTGTCAGTGTGGTGCCGTTTCTTGCAATGTTTGTTCAATTTTTTAAAATGTCTTTTGATTGTTTATAAGTAAGCTTAAATTTGCATTTTATGGGAGCTACTTAATCCTGATTTTTATTAAAAACCAACTGCTTTCATTTAATCTAAATAAGTGTATATTTAGATTACCGCTGTAATTCAGAGAATTCATTTCAACAATCTCTTTTTAAAGGCTGGGCTAAAAATAAATTATACCTATATTGATTATAAAATAAAATAAAAATAACTTTTCATTGTGGTGATTCTTGCTGGATTCTACTTTAAATTGTTTTTGCTTAACACATCAATTACGCATGTGTGCATGCACTTGATTCATTCTCTACAGGCAAGAATTTGAATAGTTTGATATACACCAACATAGTTCATAGTTTATTCTTCTCATTTTTTGCCCCAAATTATTTACATAAAGATACCAATGTTCTCTTTTACTTGATTCTATCTTACTTGTACCTCCCTGGCATCACATCTAGCATTTGTAATCTCCCACCACATGAGACGGGCTAACAGAGAGACAGGAGAATAGAGGCACATACCTTCTGTATCCTTCACTGGGAGACCAGGTTCTCTAGTGAGCAAAGAGTGCCTGTGGTCTTCACAGACTGCCCCGCGAAGGTTCACAGTGAATCATGAGTGGAAAAAGTAGATTTCTCATAAATATGTCACTGAAAGTTGAACAGGAAATTCTTACACTTAGGCTATTGTGAAGATGGTTTACCTCATCAAACACCTCCAGAATATAGGATACTTTAGGCTGGTAAGTGTGTGTTATAGTTTATCCCCATTGGCAATGCCTCTGAGAAGATGTTTTCTTATTCGAAAAGATATTGGAGGACAAAAGACTTCAGCACCCATGCTGTTAACTTACATCTTAATCACAAACGTTGAACACATAGACCTTGTTAGGTGTATCTCAGATGTTTAAATTCTGCTCTTAATCAGGTTACTGAATCCTAGCATTTCATACTTCTTTTCCTTATACTCTCAGTATGGAATTTCTATTATAATGGGAAAATTTCTAAAATCATAATCCCATTAACTGTAGTTATTTAATGACATTTGTCTCCAATGGTCTGAAGAATTACTATGTTTTCACCTTTATGATAACTGTCACAACAATCATTAATTCTCACACTTACCTTCTCAATTTCCCTGCCCTAGTTCTTAAAAAATCGCTTCATTCATTTTATTATTCTTAAATGTTAGTTAGACTTCCCTTGCAAAAAATATTGTCTCTGTTATAGATAGAACATTAGATAATGTTGAACTATAGCACCATGACAGAGATTAAATTATTATATAGGTATTCATTGTATTTTTTGTTGGTTCAATTTCTAATCAAAACCATCTCTATTTTAATTAGGATTAGTTGTTGTAAATGACAAAGCCCATATCTAACTATGTAGGGGGAGAAAAAAGGTAATTTTAAAAAATGTCCCTTACTAAAAAAATGGGAAGGGCAGAAAAAGAAGATTTAAATGACACATAAGCATCAAAAGAAACAAAACTTAAAGCACGATGGTTTGATATGCATGTATGGCAAAATGACATCCATCTTCTCATACAGGAGAAATAAGGAAATAAAGAGGATATAGTGTATTCACACTGTATGTGCTAACTAACTACTAATCACATAATAGCCGTCTAGGTTACCAGACAGACTGCTATGGTATCACAGTGCTTGTGTTCAAGCAACCCTTATTTTACAAACCTTATGGCCTAAGATCATCCCATGGAATGCAGCATCAAAGTCACCCATATGATCAGCGAAGGATTACAACGTTTGCAGCAACCTTTGCAGCAACATGTTGATGAGTTGAAAAAAAAAAAAGACACAGTAACTTCCAGTAACAGTGTTCTTCCAAAACTATTCTGCAGTGATAGTTCCTGTGCTGGTCCGTGGTGACAACACCCTGCTGGGGCAGGAATCCGGGAAGTTAGACCCATCCCTATCCTTTTGGGCCCTGTGGGCCCTCATCTGGCCGCAGTGCAATGGCAATGCTTCACCATTGATGAGGTGGATAGGATGAGGCCCTGGAGACCTATTTCTACCCTGCCCTTGTGGTGATAACTTCTGCATCACCAAGAAAAATGTGGAGAATGAGGAAGACATAGTAACCTGTCCTAGATGCTCTTATTATAAAAGTGACTTATGGGCCTGGCCAGGTTGCTCAGTTGATTGGAGCATGTCCTATACACTAAAAGATTGCAGGTTCCACAATCCCTGGTGGGACACATTTGGGAGGACTGATGGGTGACATCTTTCTCTCTCTCTCTCTCTCTCTCTCTCTCTCTCTCTCTCTCTCCCTCCCTCTCTCTTTCTCTCTCTCTTCCTCCCTCTCTAAAAAATCAATAAAAACATATGAATGGCCTTTTTGTTGTTGTTTCTGTTATTGTTGTCTGCCAGCAGCAAAGTTATGTGTGGCCATTAGCTGAGACACAAAATGAATTACCAAAAATGTATACTGGAAATGCTTAGTACATTCTATGAAGCAGTAGGGGCCCAGTGCACCAATTTTTGTGCACCTTGAAAGGAACTGTGGGCCGAGAGGCTGGGGAGGGCACAGGGGTGGGTCTTGGCCCATCCTCTGGCCCCCACCTGGCCCCTCCTGCTGCAGCCCCTGGTCCCCTCTCTACCAGCAGCTCCACTCACACCACAGCTGCTCCCATGGGTTGACAGCACTGAGCTATTGGGGTTGGCACCAGCAGTGGGTGTGAGTGGGCCCGGCACTGTCAGTGGGTGTGAGCCCCAGCTGCTGCCCTTATTGCCTCTCAGGAGCAAGAGGAGGTGGAGTAGCACTCAGGGGCGATCAGGACCAGTACCGAGCACTGGCAGTGGTTGCAAGTGGGGCTATCACTGGCAGCAGGTGCAAGAGGCAGCTGCTGCCCTGATTGCCCCTCAGGAATATGGGGAGGTAGAGACACCCTGAGGGGAGATCGTGGCCAACAGCACACCACTCACACCCGCTGACAGCGCTGAGCGATCGGGGCCAGTGCCGGGCACTGACAGCGGATGCAAGTGGGGCCAGCAACAGCAGTAGGTGCAAGTGCCTGGCAGCACCACGACCCCTGGGAGCAAAGAATTTTCAGTAACCACCTGGGGCTTGCCCCAATGACAGTGACTGGCACCCCACCTTGGTCTGGAGCCCCTCTCACCTGCTCCACCATCCTGCTGCGGCCAACGCCTGCCATGTTCTGCACTATGCTGCCTGCTGCCAATGCCCACCATATTCCACACGTGCCCCCTTGTGGTCAGCACACGTCGTAGTGACCGCTTGTTCAGTTGTTCCACTGTTCGGTCTATTTGCATATTAGGGTTTTATATATATGTAAACTAGAGGCCCAGTGCACGAAAATCATGCACCGAGGGGGTGTCCCTCAGCCCAGCCTTCACCCTCTCCAATATGAGACATCTCCTTCACATTCCAGGACTGCTGGCTCCCAACCACTTGCCTGCCTGCCAGCCTGATCACCCCCTAACCACTCCTCTGCAAGCCTGATTGATGCCTAACTGCTCCCCTGCCAGCCCAATTGCCCCTAACTGCACTCCCCTGCCAGCCTGGTCACCCCTAACTGCCCTCCCCTGCAAGCCTGGTACCCCCAACTGCCCTCCCCTGCAGGCCTGGGTCTCCCCCAATTGCTCTCGCTGCAGGCCTGGTCCCCCCCCAAATGCCCTCCCCTGCTGGCCATGTTGTTGTGGCCATCTTGTGTCCACATGGGGGTGGCCATCTTGTGTGTTCAAGTGATGGTCAATTTGCATATTACCTCTTTATTATATAGCATTATATGGCATAGTCTGATGTGATGAGACATCTCATTGCTGTTTGAGGCATCTTATTACTGATGTCCCAGAAGTAATCCACACTTGCTTTGGAATCAGTGGTGGCTCAGATGACCAGAGCAGGTGCTGGCTGTTAGAGATGAGCTACAGAGAGAAACAAACTGCTCCATATGCAGTGTTGGTGGCTTTGTAAATATCAATGATTTTAGCTCCCTTGGTTAACAATGAATTTCAAACAAGAGCAAAGACTTTTGATACAGGTCTGTGAGCACAGAAGACCAGGAAGAAAAGTGGCCAGAGTCCAGATGTTTCAGGAGAAAAGAAGCATAAATGGCAGTGATCAACTGACAACCTGCAATCATGGGAGCAATTTTGTTTCCAAAGCACCTGAGTCCCTAAATTTGTTAACTATAAGAGAGCACAGCAGAATCTAATTTAAACTTCTGTTAAGCAGGAAGTAAAGCCAGAGTCATTCAGACATGACTGGAGTTCTGTGTGATACGTGTGCCTTATTTAACACAACAGGCATTTCCAGAGCCCCTCTGAGCACTGATCTGTCTTTAACTAGCTTGGTAATCTTTTGCAAGAACAGTAGATTCTTTATTTCTAAACTTAGAATACTGCATCAGGTGATTTTTAA